AAGTAATTTTCATTTAAAATGATGGCATGATGGAGAAGGAATTAATAGGCTTTGAGTTTTGTACAAGCATATTTCTGTCACGTTCAGGTTATATTGTGCTTTAGGACTTTTCGGATCCCGCAGCTCCAGTGAACAGTGCTGCACAAGTTAATAAATAATTTCATGAATTCCCCATAGTCGTTACACGAGAAGTTGGAGTAATTGCCGAATAATGAAAACATTTAGGCCTAAAATATATGTACATACATCAAGAGTATATAGGAGTTGATTATTTGACCAAGGCTGAAAGATAATTCTACTCAAACCACGCAAAAACTCCACTTGCTCAGAAATCTAACCCTAATGCAAATCTATCGAGTATGTCAGGAAATTTGTAAAGTGTTTCTTGAGATTTTCCCTTAAAATTGGCTGAATGTTAAAGAGCGGGTCAAATTAACTCTCAAACTAACGTTAGTTTATGCAACAATTTTGCTTCAAATTTAGTTATTTACTGTTTAGAGATCCAGTGGATTTTGCCATTGACTGAGCCTTTCCATCAATTGTCATTTGCAGAATCTGCCCATTCGTTCTGGGCAGTCCAGACTCAGGCAGGCTCGGTATGCCTGTCACAGCAGTGAAACTAGCCTCTTGCTCTCCTGGTGTATTCCTTTCCTCCTCACCCAATGGACTTAAGCCGCTTGCATCGGTAGTCTCGATGACCTCCTTCGCTGCTGCAGCAGCCGCGTCTGCTAGAGTCTGTGCATATTGCATCACCATTTCCTGTTTTTTTTTACCATTGAGGCGGGGGCAAAACGGAAGTAAAATAATATGCTTAAAATAAGGTATGATCCTTAATCAGCATCACTATAACTATCTATAAACCAAAAATCATCAGATGTAAGGAAAAAACTGTCAAATATGGTGACACTGTATATTTGACCAAAGCTAAAATTGGTTTTAAAAGAGAATATATTTGATTGCAGCTGCGTATAAGACATTACAATGATCAGAACGTTATACTCCATAAAAGATAAACAGTCTTTTATAAAATCGAATGGTTGAAAATTAATCTTGAATGGTGAGTCCTTGATGGATTCTATATTCCTCTGAATCGTGGTGGAATACTTAAACAATTGCTTGTTATTTCTGACCATACCGACCAATACTGGCCTAGCCTTCCACGATAAGGCTTTGTCCACAAAGTTTCTGGTATTCTCAAATGGTTTTCCTATTCATAGGATATATCATCTTTGTTCCAGCAGTTGCTGCGCTTTACTAAAGTCCAAGCTTTTCAAAGAAAAATATTAAATCACAATGATTCTATTAGCATTGCTAACTTTGGACTAGAATTTAGGCATCATTATCCTCTATTACATTACTCTTGCTAAATAAATGTAATTTCTATTTACCAGTGCCTAAATATTACTTATTAAAAGATAGCTTAAAGGGAAAAAAGGAAGAACTTGGCTTAAAGCTAGATTTTATGTGCGACAAGGGCTTATTCTTAGAGGAATTTGCTGTGCTTGATTTAGATTCAAAGAGCAACTTAACAAATAAGCATTTCATACAATAATTATTAAGAAAAATTAAAGGTAATAAAATCCTTACATAATTCACCCTATCTAAACTGCATTCACACTAAAAAAATACAAAGTTGAATATTAGTTAGCATTTATATTTGCCTCGCAAAGAAATAAAAAAATATCAAGTCTTATCTCAACAAAGGTAGCATGAACATATAAAATAAAACATCAAACCAAATCTCACTCTTTAGAGTAACTATGACAAATAAGTTTCGCTATTATTTTTGTTCGCTTAGTCTTCTCAAATCGTATGCATTTGAGCAAAGCTTTCAAAAGCATATTTAGTAACACATTATATTAACTAAAAACATGTTGTATATGCTCAACTTGTGGCCTTTTTCGGGTGGGTAAGAATTTATTTATTGAAATAAATGGCATTCATCAAGTGATCTTGGTTCTGACCATTTATCATAAACTATTTTTCATTACCTTAAAAATTATGGTAAATACTGCTATTTTAACCTGCAGACTAGAAGGATAACTTTTAAAAATTGTTAATGAAATTCTTTCTCAAATGATAAAGTTCTCCATTCATTCATTATTGATTGAATTATTATTTACTAAAGTATTCTACCAATATCATACTTTTGGCACTCATATTATACTTTCAATGCTGATACTCCTGCAGGGCGATGATGTTAAATGCCATATTAGCTGAAAGTAAAATTTATTTAGATATTGCACAAATTCAATTATTTATTTATAACATCTTTGACTCACTTGAATATTAGAATTGGTTTCTATCCCCATATTTGCAGGCATGCGTGTGTTTATGATGGAGGCAAGTTGGTGCTGTTCAGCTGGACTACACAAAGACACTGAGCGCTCGCGGCGCTCCCCACTTCGCTGAGTTTCCTCGCCATTTGTTTCACCTTCGCCATATTGGCTGGTCACTTCGTCATAGCCGTATTCACCTAACAAGCCATGATCAGAAGCAGCAGCA